GTTTTTAAATTTGATGAAGTCTATAAATTTGTTCTTTTTTAAACTTAAGCTTTGTTGTGTTACCTAAGAATGCTACCTAACTCAAAGTATAAAAATTTTACTCTTGTATTTTTTTGAAGTTTTATACTTTTAGATTTTATAGTTAGATTCATAAGCCATTTAGAATTATTTTTCATACATTGCCTTTGATATGCCTGAGGTATGGGTCAAAGTACTTTTTTTTGCATATGCACATCAAGCAAAGGTTTTAATAGGGATAAAGAAAATATACTTTGATTAGTGTGACACCTGGGTTTGACTCTTGGCAGGGTAGGTCAGGAAGAATCTATCACAGTATATGGACTTCTCTTCACCTATTAAATTACCATTCATATGGGATAAGACAACTTGTGTTGCAAGCCCAGGTTTTTAGCCTGATAGACAAGTTTTTAGTGTGTAGACTTCTGTTCTTTAGCTGTGAATCCTTTGATTATATCGAATCCTATCCTTGTGTATGTGTGTTAGTCACTCAGTTGTGTCCGACTCTTTGCGACCCCACAGACTGTTGCCCACCAAACTTCTCTGTCCATGGAATTCTCCAGGCAAGAATACTGGAGTGGATTGCCATTCCCTTCTCCAGAAGATCTTCCCGACCCAGGGATTGAACCCTGATCTCCTGCATTACAGGCAGATTCTTTACTGTTCGAGCTACAGGGAAGTCAAGAAAGGAAGTCCTATCCTGAAAGCATAATATAGTATAAACACAACACTAGCCTTGTGTACAAAGTTAGCCTGAGATTTGCTTTAGTACTGTGGGAGACTGAGAGAGTTCTGACCAAGAGAGGGAGGACTCTGTGAGGACTCAAGAGAAAGCAATAAGCTCTAGAGTTGGGAGGAGCATGTAGAGATTTTGTAGTCAGGCGATTTTCAACCTTTTATTTGATAGTTGAAATTTACATGTCATATAGTAGGTATGTTATTGTTACATTGTTGCTATAATAGGTAAATACAAATTATGTGTAATTTCTGGCATGCAAGCTGTAATTCTGCCTTTTAAACAATCTCACCTAAGAAACAACGTTGTAACATAAGTGAACCGACTTTATTGTAGTATTTACCAGGAACTTGCTTTCATTTAATTAAAAGTATACTGATTGAGTACTTTAAATCAATTTCAAGTAATTTATGACACAATTCTCACAGTTGATCAACATGTGTGTGTGTTGGTGGAATCAAACTGAAAGTTTTTTTTTAGTTTGGTGGTTCTCAAACTTGAGTGTGCTTCAGACTTACCTGTTAAGACAGATTGCTGGTCCCCTACCTGAGATTTTCCAATTTAGTAGATCTGGGTTGGGGCTCTAGAATTTGCATTTCTAACAAGTTCACAGATGATGCTGATATTCCTGGTCTGGGGACCACATTTTCAGGATCACAGCTTAGGCCAACTTTCACCTTACTATTTCAGTATTCTAGGGGCAGAGTTTGTCCTTTTTAACATAGCCTATTCACTGTTAGACAGTTCTTCCGATAATTAAACCTACTTCTCCTTCTGTTATTTTTGTCCAGTGTTTCTAGCTCTGGCCTGTGAAGTAAGAAGTTTACTCTTCCTATAACAGAGGAGAAAGCCCTCATGTAGTTGAAGAAAGTTTTTCATGTCTCCTTTATTTAATTTCATTCATGTTAAGCATTTATAGTTTCCTAATAGTTATTGGAAGAATACTGGAATTTGTAGTTATGTTAATACTCCCATAACAGTGTTTTATTTGTAATCTCGTTTCTCTTCCTATATTTTCTGGGATACTATCCAGGCCAGAATCCTGGAAGTCATCCTAGGTTCCTTCCCCTCCTTAACTCCCTATTTTGCCGAAGAATCATTTGATTGTAGAAATGCTGGGAGCCAGATAAAAATTTGATCCAGTTTAAGCAGAAGGGGGCAGCTTATTTTAAGGGTACAGTAATATGCTATTGAACCTGCAAAACATGTGATTTGGCTGGATCTCTCATAAGTGACTAGAAATGGGAACTAGAAAATTGCAAGAAGTAAGTTAGTTTGGAAGTTATACTATAGAAAGGAAGTTCCTCTTCCCATGCCCCTTTTCTTTCTCTCTTAGACTATGTGTTCTATTTGCTTCATTCCCTTTTCTTGTCTTTAATAAATTCTTCAGTAAATCCAATAATGTTCTACTGTTTTAAAAAGTCCAGTCTAACTAACATATGTACAATAGATAGCCATGGGAATTTGCTGTATGACGCAGGGAACTCGTACCAGGGCTCTCTAACAGCCTAGAAGGGTGGGAAGGGTTGGGAGGTGGGAGAGAGGTTCAAGAAGGAGGGGACATGTATACGTACGGCTGATTTATGTTGTTGTATGGCAGAAACCAACACAATATTGTAAAGCAGTTATCCTTCAATTAAAAATAAATAAGTCCAGTCTAGCTAGCTGAGCAAGAGAAGCAAGGTACAGAATAGTTCATAAAGAGTGATCTATTTATGTACTCAACTCTGTCCGAAGCCTGGATAGTAATTATCCTGGGGAGATAGTATAGTGACTGAGAGGGAGCACAGGGGGCTTTCTGGAAAGTGGTTGGTTATGTTTCTTTTTTTTTTAAATCTTGATGGTGGTTACATGGATATGTTTAACTTGCAAAAATTCTTTGTTGTGTGCTTAGTTATATGTACTTTTCTGAAATGAGTAATATACTAAAGTTAAAAGGATGTCCTGCTTTAAAAGTTAAATTTCATTTCCCATTTAATTAACATTTCCTTCCCTTTGCAAAGTTTTGATAGGAGAAACTTGGAATGAGAAGGTGCATAATCTGCTTTCATTTTTCCTCTCCTCTGGCTTCTTTTCTTTGGTATGTTATGATAGGGAATAGAGAGATTGAAAAGGATATGACTTTCTTTTAACTGATGCTGATCTAGTCCTATTGGTTGTCAGTCCTTTTGTGCCTAAGACTAATTGTTCATCCATATGATGAAGCAGGCATCCAAGTGCTGGCTCTGTCATGTAGCTCATTTTAAGTTATTTTGGGAGTATTTTCCTTTCCATATTGCCTTCATATAGGATATTCCTTCGCCTTGGTATCTTGTCAGACCTCCTCACTTCCCTCCACCCACAGCTGCTTGCTGGAGTGTTGCCTCTGTGAATGGCCAGCCCTTTTAGATGGGTTACCAGCTTTAATGCCCAAACCCTGATTTCTTTATGGTTTCTACTTGATGCATAAGTACTGTTTCATCCTTGTCACACCACTTGGTGGTAATATAGGCTGCTGCCTTGATGCTTTCTCTTTTTACATTGACTTCTCCTTCCAATTCCCCTTTCTTCCTGCTCATTCCTGATGCAATTGCCTGGACACATCAATTGCTTCAATGCTTGTTGTTTAGTCGCTCAGTCGTGTCCAACTCTTTGTAACCCCATGGACTACACACTCCAGGTCTCCCTGTCTCTCACCATCTCCTGGAGTTCAGCCAAGTTCATGTCCGTCGAATTGGTGATGCTATCCCACCTTCTTATCCTCTGCTGCCCTCTTCTTCTGCCTTCATCTTTCCCAGCATCAGGGCCTTTTTCAATGCTACCAGTAATGGTACAGTGCCTTACTATCCCCCATGTTCTTTTATCCATTTACTACCAATTTTAAAAATACTTTCTCCTTAGGACTTTCGTTGTGTTCAGTGGTTGGGACTCCTCACTCTCATTGCTGAGGGCCCAGGTTCTATCCCTGGTCAGGGAACTAAAATCCCACAAGTGGCGCAGTGTGACAAAAAAACAAAATAACAACAACCAAGAAAACAACTTTTCCCCCTTTCTCTTCAGCTGTTTTTCATCAACTTCACTCTTTTTATGCTGGGGTATTTGTAAATTATATTCTGGATAGCCACTACCAACCAGTATTTGTGCTTTCCTATGTGTGAACCTACCTGTCACAGTATGTGAGACCAGAGGCTTTTAAAAAAATCTTTTCTCAAGGAGGTAGGCATTTCTCCATTTATTTTCCATCCCCTATGGCTTTTAGTACTGCTGTGTTACCAGTTACTTGTGTCTTGTTTTTCAAATGGCAGGTAATGTACATTTCATCTATTTCTCCTTATGCTTCTCATTTTGTTTTTTTACTGTCCAGGTCAGATTGATGTGCTTCTTATCTCTGTTTGTTGTAGCTTCCTTCATTGAAATGTAAAAGATAGGCTTCATTTGCCTTTTTTTTTTTTAAAAGAATATTTTCTCATTTAATGCTGCTAATTAGGTGGGTGTTTGCTTTAGAATGTCTGCATCTTGATGATGCTTATTGGTGAGGAGGAAGTGGCATTGGGATGGAGTGGGATGGGCTAGACTAAAGGCAAAGGGAAGGCACTTCATGTTGCCTATATTGCCTCCTTTGTACCATTATACTTTTTCATATATTTAGCTCCTATTATAGAAACATAAGATCTTCCCTGGTGACTCAGATGTGAAGAATCCTCCTGCAAAGTGGGAGACCTGGGTTCCATCCCTGGGTCAGGAAGATCCCCTGGGGGAGGGCCTGGCTACCCACTCCAATATTCTTGCCTGGAGAGTTATAGACATATGTATCATAGAATATAAAGAAGGTTCTGAGTTTTACTTCAGCATTAATTGAATGTTAGGGATATTTGTAACTTTGTGTGACAGGTATTTTATTATTTATGATTTTTTAAAAACTGAGATATGCTTTTCTTTACTGGATATAATGTGACTAAAAGAAAAGTTAATAAACATAAGTAGACATGTACTCGTTAGGAATAATATATCCTGTCAAAGTGCCTTATTGTATCACCTTGAAATCTCATCCCCTATTTTTCCTTTTGTAATCAATGTCTCACATCATTCATGGCATATCGAAACAGTTGTCACTAAGAAATTTGTTTCTGGCTTCAGCTGTTCAATAGGAAATATGAAATATTGGCACTTTTTAACTGTAATGAATGTTGTAGAGATGTTTAAAGTTCTTATACTTTCAGAAAAGACATTAAAGATTTATGTGTTTTACTTTTTTCTTCCTTTGAAGGATGTGATAACTGGACGTAGTCCCCTGCTCTTCAGGAAGCTTAGTAATCCTGACATATTTTCATCCACTGGAAAAGCTAAACTTCAACGACAACTTAGTCAGGATGACTGCAAGTTACGGAGAGGAAGCCTGGCCAGTTCTTTGTCAGGTAAGTATCTAGTTTTTTTTTTTTTCTTTTTAAGAGTTTTGGGACTGCGTTGTCAGTGTTTAAGGGTGTATTAACTTGGCATCTTGACACCTTATTTTGTGATGATAGTCTTCTATAGAACACTTGTGAGTAAGGCTGTCTTCCTTTCTTTGCTGTTTCCTCATGGCATCTCTGAATGCTAACCTCATGAACCTGCTAAATATTTCTTGATTGACCGTTATTACTGGTTATTCCCTTTCAATATGATTTTTGCTCTGTGTTTATTTCTTCAGACTTCACAAACTTTGCTGCTGCTGCTTTTTCTTTTTTTTTTTCTATTTCTGAAATCTATTCCAAACGCCATAGTGTCTCCCTACCTCTTCCATAGAAAAGTCTTAAAAGATTCAAAAGGAAAAATTAATACAAGGAAGTCATGCCTAAATAGGAAGCAATTAAAACATGGCATGATTTTAAGCAGTCAATGGAGTATGAAAAAAGAATCTATTTGACTTTAGTTGAAGAAGGAAAAGTAGTCCTATTATGTTCCTTGGCCTATAGTGAACAGTATCAATTTCTTTTTACTTTTGTTCCTTTTCAGGGCTATTCCTTTGGTTTTCTCTTCTCACTCTTCTATTGAAATTTTTATTTTGTCTGTCATGTTTTAATCACATAGAACTGTTTCTTGTTTGTTTCCTTTTCCATAGTGTTTTGCTCTTCTTTCAAGGATGTGTTTTATCTTCTCATTCCCTATGAGTAAATAGATTTTTACTTTTTTAATTAAAATTTTCTTGAAGTTTTCTTTTTTTTTTTTTTGGCTCAGCTGGATCTTCATTATGGCACACAGGGTCTTCTCCAGTTGCAGAGCACAGGCTCTACAGGGCGTGGGCTCTCTAGTTGTGGCATGGACTTAATTACCCTCTGGCATGTGGGATCCTAGTTCCCTGACCAGGGATCGAACCCAGCCCCTTGTAGTGAGAGTGCTGAGTCCTAACCACTGGGCTGCTAGGGAATTCCCTCTTTATTCTCATTTAATGGAGTTTCCAGGGGGACAAGATACCAATATGTGGTCATTCAACCATCTTTAACTGGGAATATTTCTTAAAAATAGGCTCTTGAAATCATTATAAGAATAATAATTAGAATTTTTAAGAAGTTTTTTCCCCTGAGTTATTTGTTTACTAAAGGGCTAGTTGCTCCATTTGTTCATGTTGTTCCTTTTGTTTTAAGCTATTCGTGTTCCTCAAATTCTTGACATTTCTTGGTAAGCTTCAAGCCCTTACTAGTATATGTCCATATGGGTTTTGTCTGCTGTCATGTAAATCTCTTTCCCCATTAGGCACTTATTTTTATGAGAGAGAGAATTGTGATACTAGCCTTTGGATATGTGGACGGGAAGTTAACAAACTAATTTTCCTTTAGGTTATATAGCTCCTCATCTATAGGCAGATTGCCTGGAGAGCTTGGCAACATTTGCAGAAGGAAGAAAAGAAACTAGGCAGGCTCTACTCCAGGCTTGTGGAGGTTTTGAGTAGAGAAACAGTATTATTTTTTTGTGGAGGGTTTTATGGAAAGACTTCTTGTTAAAGCATGCATTTGAGAGCATACTTGGGAGAGAGCTAGATTTTGTTTTTTTTTATTTTGTTTCTGATGAAAAATGTAAAATATGCCAGTTATAAAAAATTTGAGTGCAGTAACATGCTGCATGTCAAAGTTGAAAATCTTTACTTTCTTCTCTTTTCCCTCCCTCCAAACCACTTGTATATACTCCATTATATTTAAATATACATTTAAAATCTTATGTAAGTATATAAATTTTATTTTAAAAATAAAAATTGAGATCTTATGCTATATACTTCCTTTCTGCTATTTTCACTCAACTGAAAACATTGAACATTTTCTCCTGACTGCAATGTTGAGCTGCCTCATTATTTTTAATGGGTTCAGTATGTCATTATGTGGAGATATTATAATTTCTTTAATTTGTAGTGATCACTTATTTTATTCCCCATTTTATTATAGTGAGAGCATTGCTAGGGTTAACTTTCTGGTCTACTTTTTTTTTCCTTTGCATTCCTACAAATGGAATGCTATGTCTAGGCTTACTCAAATTAAAATTATAATAGGTTTTGCTAAATTGCCCTCCAAATAAGTTCCATCACATTTTGTTTGCAGTAAAAGGGTATGGTACAGCAAAAACAAAACCCAAACCTACTTTTGCTCATACCTCTTTATAAGAGTGGTTATTTCTCTGATGAATAGAATTTTGCAGGAAGAAGAAGAGTTTTTAAGTAAAATTGGTGATCAAGTTAAAGCCAGGTGAATATGCAGGGCAGAATATTGAAGTTGAATGAGTGAATGGGTTTGGAAAAAGTAGAAGGAGATGAGGCCAGGGAGATAATATGGATTTATGGAGGATCTTTTTAGAGTTTTAAAAGTGTAACTTAGGACTTCCCTGTCAGTCCAGTGATTAAAACTCTTGTGCTTCCCCTGCAGGGGTTGTGGGTTCAGTCTCTGGTCAGGGAACTAAGATCTCGCTTACCACATGGTGCTGCCAAATTAAAAAAAAAAAAAAAAACCAACTAAAAAAGCAACAAGAAGTGTGGCTTAATTCTTTAAACAGTAGAGAGTCGTGAGAAGGGAATGACATGACCATATTTGTCTTGATTGGATCACTAGCGCCAATTCGAAGAGTGGTGTGAGGGAAGGGGTTGAAATGGGACTTGAACCTCAGCTAGAAAGTCATTGCAGTTCTGGGTGCTCAGTCTTTATAAATGAGTTTCTTGCAGTCTTTCAGTGGGATTAAGGCATTCAGTCAACCTGGACTGAACACATGGAATCTGGCAAGAGCAGCATAGATTCAGTGTTTGTCTTCTGGAAACCTAAGGGCCAAACTTGTCTAGGAGAAGCTTTCAGCTCCACTCTTAGCACATTGAGTTGATGAGAAACTAGGTAGGATGGAAGGGACTGGAAAGCTCCTAGCCTTCTAGGTTGGGTGTTAGGTTGGAACAAGCCTGTTTGGTTGAAAGTTGGGCCCTGGCCTGGTGGTGAATATTACAGAGAATTTAAAATCATCGACTCAGTTCAGTATTCCACTTGGATTTCTCACTACCACCAACACAGGTGGAGTTTTTTAGAGGGCTACAGATCCTAAAATGGATGTTGGAGGGGCTTCACTTTGCTTTGGATCAATGTACTTTTTTTTTTTTTTCTTTTTTCTGTATTTATTTATTTATTTATTTAATTTTTTTTCCCCATTTATTTTTATTAGTTGGAGGCTAATTACTTTACAATATTGTAGCAGTTTTTTATCATACTGGATCAATGTACTTTTAATCCATTTGCTGTCATTATATTTTTCATTTCATTAGTTAATAATTTGTTAATTTTCCAAACGTTGTGTTTGAAGGTAAGCAGCTGCTCCCCTTGTCCGGCAGTGCACACAGCAGTGTGGGACAGGTGAGTTGGCAGTCTTCAGGAGAAGCGTCCAACCTGGTGTGGATGAGGAATCAGTCCCTCGGACAGTCTGCGCCTTCCCTTACTGCTGGCTTGGTGAGTGTTAGTACAGATGCTCCCTTGCTCTGTAAACAAATCCTTGGTTGTCATTTGTCATTACCACAGCTATGTTTTTCCTTTAGCGTTTGGCTAGATTAATTTCTCAAGGCAAACAATGGAAAAGAATGGAATTTAATAGACTGTATTCTGAATGCACTCTCATGCTGTCACTGGTACTGACTGTGTAATGAGAGTCAATAAAAAGATTCAGTATGATTTTAACTTTAATGAATAAATTTCCTGAGAAAGACCTTTCTTATGGAAATGATTCTAAATCTTGTGAAGTTGTGTTGCTTCCGTATATAGCTCTGTGGTATACATATTTAGTACATAGGGAACATGTTTTACACAGAGTAGGCACTTCAGTATATATCAGGTGAAAGATTGAGCCTCTTCTTTGTCTAGCTTTGTATAGTAGACAGGACCTAACAGGTTAAGCTGTATAGTCTGGGCACGTTGTTCTCTGCCTGTTGTTGCGTCTTGTACCCTTTTATCCTCAGTGGCCCTGCCTCTTTACTTGGGGAATCCATTGACTTTCTATTGATCTCAACCCTCTTCCCTCTATCTGTAAGACAAGGCAGACTAGTAATTTGCAGGATATGATAACAAGCTTGTTCCCGTTAAGATAAGTTCATCTACTCTTTGGGGCCATAAATCTTTTGGGTTGGCATATAGGGAGTAGAAAGCTTTGTCCATTTGTTCATCCAAGAAAGTGGGGATAGGGGAAGAAGGCTTCTTATAGCAGGTGGGAAGTTAGTTTTTGGATCAAGATTTCCTTATATGACCTGAGGTTTGTGATTTTAGGCTACAGGGATAATTGGCATCATTTGTGGAACTTCCCCAACTTTTTATTTTGAAAATATCAAACTTACATAAAAATGGAAAAAATGGCAATTAAACTTACTTAGATTGACCAATTTGGTTGTAACTTTATATTTTGTGACATTTGTTTTATCTGTGTGTATATTTTTTTTCCCCTGAAGATTTCAAAGCAAGTAACAAACATTATGCTGTCTCACCCTCAAGTATTTTTCCTAAGATCAAGGGACAGTCTTCTAAATAACCACAATATATAACAGACCCTTGAACAATAGGGATTTGAATTGAATGAGCCAAATTAAATGTGGATTTTTTCCCATTAATACTACCAGATCCATGGTTGGTTGAATCCTGGAATGCAGAACTGTAGATAGGGAGGACCAGCTGTAAATTTATCCTTGGATTTTCCACTGCACGGGGATGGGGAAGGATTGGGAGATGTCAGCACCTCTAACCCTTGTGTATTACCAGATCTGAGAAGTTTAACATAAATTTAATTTTAAAAAATTCAGATTTTTCCACTTGTTTTCAATATGTCTATTAAAGCTCCTTAACCTCTTTTAACCTCTGGAACTTAAAAAAAATCCATGCACCATTGTAGAGATTTTGATCCAGTGGGTCTGGAGTGGTCCCAGGCATCCGTATTTGCTTTAAATGCACTCTTTTGAGAACTGCTGCCATTAAAGTAAAGCTGAATGTTTCATTTTAAGGTGGTTTGTTGCAGAGGAAATTACTGGACTGAGTTTGCTGAATTCCTAGCCTAACAATTGAAGGAGAATATTCCTGAATTAAATTTTTTTTTAAAAAGCTTATTGAAATATAATTCACATGATAAAATTACTCATTTAAATTGTACATTTCAGTGATTTTTAGTATATTCATAGATGCAGCAATCACTGGAGTTAGTCTTAGAATATTTTCATCATAATCAGGAAGAATTCTTAAACCCTTTAACTATCACCTTATTTCCATATCTCTCTAGGCCTATGTAACTACTAATATACTTTCTGCCTCCACAGATTTACCTGTTCTGTCCCTTTCATATAAATTGAATCCTATAATATGTGGCCTTTTGTAATTGGCTTCTTCCACTTAAAATGATGTTTTTAAGGTTCCTCCATTGTGTAGCATGTATTAGTATGTCATTCCTTTTTACCACTAAATAATATTCCATTGTATGAATATGCCATATTTTATCTGTCAGTTGATTGACATTTGGGCTGTTTTTTCCTTTAGACTATTGTGAATAATAAACATTTGTTTACAGTGTTCATATGGACAGTTTTCATTTTTCTTGGGAGTGGAATTATTTGGTCTTATGATAACTGTTTAAATGCAGCAGTGTTTGGTAAACTGCAGTATATGATGATTTTGATTTCTTTACCTCTTCATCAGCATTTGCTATTGTCTGTCTTGATTTTAGTCATCCTAGTGGTTCTGAAGTGATCTGTGGTTTTGATTTGTGTTTTCCTAATGACAGTAAGCATCCTTTTATGTGATTATCGGCTGTTTGTATATATTCTTTGAAGAAATGTATATTCAGATTCTTTGCTCATTTAAAAAATTGGGTTATTTGTCTTTTTATGGGTGTGTAAAATAATTACTTCTCTAGAACTGAATCTAGTTATGTCTTTCCTGCCAGGGATCTGCCTTTTGTTTCCTCTTGTGCTTTTCTTCCTCAGCAATTTACTTACTTATGGTAACCTCAGGCAAGTTCCTCCTTTTCCATTCTCGTAATCAAGGATTTCCAGTTGAATATTTTATGTTTGATGGCACATTTGATAGTGTTGAATACTTCCATTGCTTTGACTTACTGTACACTGAATATACCTTTATGCCACCCTAGCTTCTGTGGCATTTCTAAAAAAGTCTGTCCTTTAATGTATTCTTGTTGTTAATAGAATTATGGCCATATACAGCCCACAGATCCATATATAGTCCGCAGACCCGTATACAGTCCACAGACCCAGCCTCCAGAGAATTTTTGGGTCTACAAGATTCACATATAACAAAAAACCAACTTAAAAGTAATAAGACAACATTTAATAGAATAAGGAACTAAGGGGACAGAAATTGTCTTGGGTATAATGATTGGGGAGATAATTTGCAGGAGGTTAGATTTGACCAGAGTCTGGAGAATGGTGAGCCAAAAGACTGAGTGTAGCAACTATTTTCATTTTGAGACCATTTTGGTGATTGTGTTTGTGAGGGTATTTTTGGACTTCTCCCTCATTTCCTAGTATCTATTGAGAGGATTTCTCTGAATGTCCATTTTCCCCATATATGTAGAAACTATGATTCCAATTAGTGGTTTCCAGAGCATGTATAAAAAGAATCATCTAATCACATTACTGTATTTTATGTTCCTAGGGATAGGGAAAAACTTAGATGGCATCTTGTCCAAGATTAGTTATTCATTTTAAAATATATGTATGGTTCGATCCCTTGTTTGGGAAGATTCCTTAGAGAAGAAAATGGCAACTCACTCCAGTATTCTTGCCTGAAAAATCCCACAGACAGAGGAACCTGATGGGCTACAGTCCATGGGTTGCAGAGTTGGACACGACTGAGTGTGGCACATATTTGTTCAGGAACTGTTGACCAAAACCTCCCACCTAGGCCAGGCACAATGACATCTGCTTGCCTGATTTGTCTCACAACAGGAGGTTCCCATAAAGAACTCGGTGCTGCTCCCCAAAACTAACCTGGAGAATTTGGGAGGGCCAAAAGGAGGAGGGAGGAGATGCTGTGTCCTGCCAACTGTCCAGAGGCCCTCACACTGAAATCCATCTTGTCTGAGAGAGGCACAGGCCACCAGGAAGGACTCTGAGTCAGATGAAATTTAGGCCAAGCAAGATGATTGGCCAGAGACAACCTGGAAACTAATCCTGTTGCTGTAAAACCTGAGACCGCGAGCTATGTGGCAGAGCAGTTCTCCTGGGTTTCCTTACCCTGCTGCTCTCCACCTGGGTGTTCATTCCCAGTAGTTTTTGCTTTTTGTCAGCGTGTGTCTCCTCGGACAGTTCATTTCCAAGTGTTGGACAAGAGCCCCACTCTTAGGCCCTGGAAAGGGTCTACCTTCCTACAATATATATACATATCCTTATCTACTATAAATTATGTGATATATATATGTATATGTGTCTTAAGACATATATATAAGAATATTTATATATATATATATATATATATAATTTTTAAAGTAAGGTTAACTCCTGCTTTGCTTTGTCATGAATATGCCAAGTAGTATCTGCAACTTTGATCTTTGTCTAAGACTCACTCATCTGTTTATTCTGCCTCTGTGTTCCCCTGAACCAATTCTTCAGTCGTTAACTAGAACCATGACCCCTCTCCCTGCCCTGATAGCCCAAAACCAGAGACCTGGAAGTCTATTTTGACTCTTCCTTTCTCTTACTCTCCCCCATCCAATCACCCAGTGAATCCTAGCTCCAAACATTTCTAAGAGGTCTACCTTTTTTCACCTTAGACTTTTTTCACCAGTCTGAGCCACATTTTGCAGTCTCTTTGATCATTGCTGGGACCTCATTACTGTTAATTCATTCTTCTTCCTTTCTAACTACTCTCCACTCTAAAGTCTATTCTTTCAAAAACAAAATCTGATTTTGTCTGTTCTTTTTTCTTTTAGTTTTATCTTCTAAATTTTCATTTGGTTAATATTTATCCAGCATCAATGTTTAAAATATTTCCATAGCTCCCTGTAACAATTATTATAAAATACAATAATCAGTAATTATTGAGTGCATGAATTTTCATTGGCATTAGCAAATTGTCAATGAGAAATTGAGACCACAGATGGAAAGATGAGGCTTGGATGATTTTTCTCTGAAATCAGTCTGTTGGGTTCAAGTAATTTATACTGAGGTTGACCTAACCCATGAATTGTGCCAAACATTCAGATTTTAATAGAAGGGCTGTACATACCAGGAATCTCTTAATTGATTGCGTTTGACTAATTCTTTCTTTATTGGCAGACATGACATTCACAGGACTGATGTATGCATGCCAAGTTGCTCAGTCGTGTCTGACTCTTTGCAACCCCATGGACTGTAGCCCTTTAGGCTCCTTTTTCCATGGAATTCTCCAGGCAAGAATACTGGAGTGGGTTGCCATATCCTTCTCCAGGGAATCTTCCCAACCCACAGATTGGACCCACAGAT